AGAATTTTTCCAGCCCTGCAGGAGCACAGGGAGCAGGATTCCTGCAGGATTGGTGCTGAGCTCTGCCAGGGACCAGGATTCCTGTAGGATTGGTGCTGAGCTCTGCCAGGGACCAGGATTCCTGCAGGATTGGTGCTGAGCTCTGCCAGGGAGCAGGATTCCTGCAGGATTGGTGCTGAGCTCTGCCAAGCACCAGGATTCCTGCAGGATTGGTGCTGAGCTCTGGCAGGGACCAGGATTCCTGCAGGATTGGTGCTGAGCTCTGGCAGCCCTGGAAGCACAGTCTGTGTCTCCTGGCAGCCCTGAGCTCATTCCCCCTGTTTCCCTGCTGGACATGGATGCCTGTCCTGGCTCAATAAATTTGCACTCGATTCAGTTTTAATGAGACAGTTGCATGAACACCAAACAACTGGTTTGTTTACATCAGATTAACAAGGCTGGTACTAATTATGTCCATTTAACTTCCCATATTTTCCTTATAAAAGCACTAATTAAGACATGATGCTCTCATTGGTGTCAAATGGCTGTTCAACCCAGGCAGAATTTAAGTTTTATTTGCACCTTCTTCTTCTTCCTGATTTTTATTAAAATAAAAAACCGATCACAATCTTTTTTATCCTGGTTTTTTATCCTGGTTGTTAATCCACAGCCAGGCTCTGAGGAGCCTGTTTTGATTCCAACAGCTCTAACATAGTGAATGTAACTCAATTTGCATTTTTGCAGTTAAAATGAATTCATTCAGCACTGCCCAGAGTCTGCAGCAGGTCAGGACAGAGCCTGTTGCTGAGCCAGATCTAAATTTCAGTTCTCCTGAAGTTCAGTGGATTATTTGTGCTGGGTGTGCTGACCTGGATAAATCTGTTATTGATGTTTTAAAAAAGAAAATTAGTCATTTATAGCAGCTTGTAATACTGACAGGTCCCCTTTACTGTGTCCTTAGTCCTGCATTGTACGAGTGTCTTTACCTGTTAAACCTAAATTAAATGAGAGGATGAGGAATCTGTAAACTCCTCCATAAAGTTGGCAGAGCTGCTGGGTTATTCATTCTTCGTCCTAAAGGAGCCTGAGGAACTGGTGAGAAGGACCCCTGAAGCTTTAAAAATGCTGATTTTTTGGGGGCAGAGGGCGAAAAAAGTGAAATATTACCTCCTTCTCCCCCATTTCTTCCCTTCAGCTCTGAGAGCCCCAGTGCAAAGTGCAGCTTTATTCTGGGTTTCCCCACTGAAATCAGCTGCTCCCCAGCAAGAACTGTGTCCAGAACCTCCCCCAAACGACCCCCCCAAGGCCCCTGCAGGAAGTTTGGTCCCAGCAAGACGCTGCTTGTTAGGACAAAACAGGAAACAAAGTGAGGGGAGGGTGAGATGGGGGTGAAATGCTGTTAAACTACCAATACCCAGAATTAGGAGAAAGGACAGACTGGGACAGAGCTGAGGATTGCTGCCTGTGCCAAGAGGATGAGTGGGGACAATGTGAACACACAGACAGAAACACACTGTTCCCAAAAAAACACCAAGCAGAGATGGACAGAAGGGAATGGGAAGAGTCAACCCAGCCAGAACCTACAGGCAATGCCCAAACATTCACTTCGAAGGAACAAACAGAGCAGCTATTCCCATTTTTCCTTCTGAGCAGCACAATGAATATTTTAAAGATTCATTTCTCACCAAATATCTAAAATTCAAATGCAACCTTTATCCTGGATCTCTAAAGATCTTCCTAAACGCGAGCTGATTCCATCTATTGTGGCACTGAAAGTCAGCTAAATTGACAGTATCAGCTAGGACATATTAGCTATGGACTCAATATAACAATTTAGGCTGAGAAGTTATCATTGCAGTATTGTATCTGAGTAAAAATAGTGGAACAATTCAGAAAAAAGGAAAGTGCTCAGTAAATGTGGGGTTTGATAAGCCCACAGAACCTTACTGGATCTTTACAGGGGTTTTTACATAAATAGAAAGAATCAGGAAGACAGTTTGCATCCCAACTGGAAAAATAGCATTTTCTTACAGGACTGAACATGAATAAAACAAGGGCACAGGCTCAGCCCAATACAGGGGGGCAAATACCACTCAACAGGTACCTTCCAGCACCTCCTGAATCCAAACTTCATTGTTAAATACATTTCATGGTTGACTCAAGGCAAAACCAATATCCTTTCTTATTATTTTGACTGTTCAGAATTGAATAACATTTTCCTGCATGGTCCATTTTCTCTCCCTTGTCTCAGCCCTGGCTGCACCACCCCTGGTGGAAGCACATCCTTCCACAGGCAGTGAAAACAGTGTTTAAAAGCAGAGTCTGCCCTCAATCCCAACCCTCCTCTCCCATTCCCTGTGTTCCATTCCCATCTGAACTGCATTAGAGCCCACTGCAATATTTCATGGCTCTATTAAAATGCTGTCCCCACCACTTGTGCACATCAAACCCTCTAATTAGAAATAATAATAGAAACCCAGGGCAGGAAGTTCTTCCATCTGCTTTTCATCAGGTTCCTCAGCCCAGCCAGATCCAGGGACAATCAACCAACATGTGTTTGGAAATTCCTTAGTGGCAAAGAGCTTCACTCTGCAGATACAGTGTCCTGGATGCTCTGCACATCATATTTGGATTAAAGAAAATAAAGTTGGCCTGTTATAAGTAGGGCTTATCAAGGCCAGATCTAAAATTTCCCATTAATTCAAGATGAAATAACCCTGCAAATGTCAAGTGAGGACAACAGCTCCAAGTGAGACTTGTAGGGAAGTCTCTGATCCTTGGGAAAAGTCAATCTGGTATTTTAAACAGAGGTAAAGAGGGGAAATAACTGATGGGGATATTTAAGTGTATGAGAAACCCCCTGTGTGTTTAAGCCATGGATTAGAACACACGAAATGCATGGAATATGGGTGAGGGAAGTGCAGTATCCCATGAATATTGGATATTATTATGCCATGGATATTGGAATGGCAATGCCATTCCTGGTGAGGCTCTGGAGGATGCCCTTGGGAAGATCCACCTTCCCATTTGGCAGCAGTGCTCCTGAAGCCACCCAGGGTGCTCCAGCACCTCATTCCTGCCCCGTGTCACCTTCCTGGGCTGTGCTGGCACATGACAGCCCAGGAGCTGGAGCTCCTTCCTCCCCTCCATCCTCTCACCCTCCTGGATTTCACAAGCACTTTCCCTCCAGGCAGAGAATTTCTCGAGTCTCCAGCACCACATCCAACGAGCCTTAACCATGGGAACCTCCTCCCTGACTCCTTCTTGCTCCCACCAGCTTCTGCAGCATTCCAGGAAGAATCTCCAGACTCCTTCTCCCCCACCCAAGAGCTGTTAATTTCCAGGAGGAAAAGCATCAAAAAGGTCCTACCAGGAGTCTGTGTGCAGAGCAGGGGCAGGCCAGGATCACAGAAGGAGCTGCACCATCACTCCAGCATTCCTCACGTCTGGAAGCTCATTAGTGCTCTCCTGAGGAGCCTTTAATTGCACCCCCAGAGAGCCCCAGGGCAGCAGGGCAGCCTCAGGCTGGGCAGCATCTCTCAGCTCAGGACTTTGAACAGGACCTGGGCTCTTGGGGACAACTTTACACCAAACATCTCCCAGGCTGAGGGAGGAGGTTGTTGGAGCCAGAGGGGATCTGTGCATGTGCAGCTCCATCATCTCCCAGCAGGGCAGAGCAGACACTGCTCCCCAGCAGCGCAGAGCAGACACTGCTCCCCAGCAGCTCCAGCTCATCCACTGCCTGAGCCAGGTTTAGAAATAAACCCTTGCTTATGGTTGGATCCACTGGCCTGGCCTGTGGTTATTTTACATTTGAAGTTGCCCCTGCCTGCTCTAGGGTTGGGCCTAAAGTTGCCCTGCCTGGAAGGCAGATCCTGGATCCAGGGAATGCCCAGCTGCTGCAGCCAGGGATCCCTGTGCCACTGACTGCAGCAAATGCATCTGCACATTCCCAGGAATACACAGGCTGGAGGTGCCAGTGGCTGGGAACACCATTGCCCTGAAGTGCCAGCTCTCCAGAGCACACACAGCTCAGGACCACGACTTTCCACCACTGGACCCAAACTCCCAAGCTTTGATCTGACAAAATGCATTTATTTCCCTTAGAAAAAGTCACACTTCTGAATTGCATCTATTTGTCTTCAAATATCAAGTCAGCAATCTTCTAAGATAAGGAACACCACTGAAATAGAGAAGAGGAATGAAAAGAACACCAGTTCAACACCAACTCAACTTGACAGCTGAATAACATTTTAAGAAAGATCTGCAAATTCAAACTGCTTCTCTTGATACAAAAGATATACAGAAATATCTTTATCTATAATAATATATAGATTTAGAAATTTCAGAATTAAACAAAAGCTTCACCTCCAGTAATTTCTGCAGAGATCTCAGGCCAGCACAACTAAGTGTGATCCCTTCCAGTGCATACTGGAAGCATGGGAAGGTTGACAGTAAAATCAGATCCAAAATCTCATTCTCTATTCATTATTCCTTTCCTCAGCAGAGCTTGGGATTAACTTGCCTGTATTTCACACAGAACTGTCCAGAAGGCAGGGGGAAGGAGATGGAGCCACACAGCCAGAGCACAGCAATCAGCATTCCAAGTTCTGTTATATCCAACTTTCTCCATCAATCCTCAAACACAAAGAACCTTCCAGTACCAAGTTAATCTATCCCATCTCAGTCAGCAAAAACATTCTGTTCCTGTATGTTCTGAACAAAAAAAAACCCTGACATGCAACAGTCTCTGCACACCAGAACTGAAATCCCAGTTACAGATTGCTCAAAGTATCTTAAATTCTTTACAAGCTTAAAATCTCTCAAGTCAGGCAGGAGAGGGACGTTGATGTGAGTTTACACAACAAGGGAAAGACATTTAACAGTGGAGAGAAAATGTGGGTGACCAACACAGGGCACATGGCACTGTGGAGGGTGATCAGCACACATGAGATATTGGACATGAACAGCACAAAGACAGCTCCTGTCAGGTCCCTGCAGCCAGAAAGGAGATTTCATACCTGGTTTGGGCACCGAGTTGGTCACGGACTGAGGAACTTTGTCGTTAATGAGTTCAACACACTCACTGGGGAAAAATCCAACCTGTGGGGAAACACAAGCAGGCAGAACATTGGGTGTATGATCTGAACTGTTCAACCAGCAACTGCTAATTAAATATGTCCCCTGAACTCCCCTGGCCTGATGCCCCATGACATTATCCATCATCAAATGACCAGCATGAGAGAAATAACTTCTCAAATTAGTTATCACAGTTATTTAGTATTTATCAAAAAAAGCCAAAAGTTCTACAAACCAAATCATTAGTCCTGTAAAATATGATTTTATAAGTTTGGTTTCTCAGCTTGTACATAGGACAGAGATATTCAACTTGCAACAAGTGTCTACACCCCCTTAGATCTCGAGTGGAACTCAGAGACAGAGAGGCTTTAGCTGGGTTTGCTGGAGGTCTCTGACAGAAATTTAATGAGAGAACAAGATGTGTCAGCTCTCAGCATCACCTCAGTTATCTCTACTCAAACCTCACTGACACCTGACCTTTTTCACTGCCAAAACACAACACTCACAAGCACTTTAACATTTTATCCCCTTAGAAAACTGAAATCAAATATGGACCAATGTATTTGCATTGTGTGGTCCCATTACAGAAAAAAAGGAACTTTCTTATTTGCTAGGTCAGGAGAAGGCACTCTGAAGACACAAAGCTCTGCTGTGTCCTTGCCTCACTGCCTGACCTGCTGAGTGTGGGTAACAAGGGAAGTGTTCAAATGGAGCACATTTAAAAACTTGCTAAAGAAGTTCAGTGAGGGTTTAGTGCAATTGAATTCAATTCAATCCTAGAACTGAGAACAAGTTTAATAAAATATACATGGAGTGAAATGAGTTCTGTTTGTAGGAATCCAGTGATCTGAGTGGAAATAAAATATTTAGAGGAGAGCAGGATGCAGCAAAGAAATCTCTACCACGAGCCAGGACTCCTGGTGTGCTCTTGGATCTGCTTTGGATCATGGACAGTGCAACTCTTGTGCCTCAGTTTCCCCCAGTGAAGGAGAAGGGAGAACAGTGCCACCCATCCATATCCATTACTGGCAACTGGGAAAACAGCTCCAACGCCCCCCTGCAAACTGCTGAACCCTCTGAACTAGCTGTGGATCTGCTCAGCAAACTGGAACACACAGAATATTGCAGAATTGCCCTTAGGAAACATCTGAAGATGCTTCAAAAGCCAGGCCCCACCCTGGGGAAAAAAAAATCTGCCAACCTTTGAGTGCAGCTTCTCCTGTGACAGGAGGAACCTGAGTGCCCAGGGCACAGCAAGGTCCTGGCACCGACTCACTGGAAATGGGACTTTGCAGAGTTCCTGCCCTGTCCTTTAACAAGCAGCTCATGCCCTACTCTCGAGTACAGGAACTGCTTTTTGGGAGAAAGATATGGAAATCCCAGGGTGGGATTCCTGGGGAGTCCTGTGCAGGGCCAGGAGTTGGACCCAATGATCCTGATGGTCCCTTCCAACTCTACATATTCCACCATTCTGTGATTTCTCCCTGAATCCCCTCTAAGGCAGAAATGCTGCACAATGTCTCTAAACCAGAGCGGGGTGAAAGGGTATGGGAAGGATCCTGGTGTTGGAATGGGATGTGCCTGCAGACATTCCCAGGCCACCCCTGGGTTGCTGTATCTGGGGAGCAGTGGCATTATCTCCCTTTCTCTGGTTAAGGATCCAGGCTGAGCTGTCACCAGAGAGGAGTTTTCCACTTCTCAGCATTTCTGTTTCACAGCATCTTCCTCCTTACTCCCATCCCAGGTGAAAGTCAGACCAGAGCAAAGCTTTGGAAACCTTTACCCTTGGTTTCATATTTCCAGACCTATTTCCCTGTCACATCCCACCTCCTCCCCCAGCACAGCTCCTGTGCTGTGGCACAGAACTCCAGCACCACCCCCTCCCCAGGCACCTCATCCAAGGCAGGGGCAGGATGGGACAGCTGGAAGCACCAAGTCACTGCAGGCAGCCACAGTTTGGTCCAAAGCCACAGGAACATGTGGCAAAGAGCCAGTGGATGGGCCTCGATGCTGCCAGTCATGTACCCACATCCATGAAATCCACTGGAGGCACAAGGCAGTCAGCACCAGGCCTGGCACACAGTTCCTCCTCTATTTATTCATCTTACACAACTCCCTTTTGTCTCTGAGGAAAAAAAATTCATCTCCTTCCTATGCCAAGTTGATTTTCCCCCATAAACCTCCCAGCAATTCAGTGGCAGTGTCATGTGTGGGGTGTCCTGGTAAACATTCCAGACTGGAACTATTCCAGATTCCCTAAGGGAAGCAGCAGTTAATAGTACCAGCAGATAACTGCCCTTCCCACACCCCCAAATCCAGCAGGGCAGAGTTTTAACCAAGTACAGGACAAACTGTCACCCATCACACTTCATGTTACACACTTGGAATGTGCTTGTTGGGAAGACTCTGGGAGCTCAGGAACAGCCCCTGGAACAGCAGCACTGGGCCAGCAGGTCTCCCTGCCCTCAGCTCTGGCTCCTGGGACTGGCCTGGGCATCACATTTCTGCCCAAGTGACTCTCAGAGCCCATCCCAAACCCTACACAAGGTGTGGCTGCACCCACTCCCTCAGCTGGGTGTGCCAGCTTTGCCAGGAGATGGTATCCTGGAATTATATGCCATAGTGCTGATTTTTGGGCAGTTTATAGGTAGCAATAGGACAAGAAAACCAGCATAAACAAGGCCCTTCCTCAGGCAGCTCAGGGATCCTGCTCTGCTGGGAGCTGTTGAGGAACAGGCTGAGTGGGACAGACACAGAAGCGCTGGGATTTAAACAAAATATTCAGGGCTTTAAATCACAGAATCATAAAACGGTTTTGTTGGAAGGGACCTTAAAGCTCCTCCAGTGCCACCCCCTGCCATGGGCAGGGACACCTTCCACCAGCCCAGGTTGCTCCAAGCCCCATCCAACCTGGCCTTGGACACTTCCAGGGATCCAGGGGCAGTCACAGCTTCTCTGGGCAACCTGTGCCAGGGCCTCCCCATCCTCCCAGGGAAGGATTTCTTCTGTATATCTAAGCTAAATTTCCCCTCTGTCAGTTTGAACCCATCCTCCCTCCTCCTGTCACTACAGTTCCTGGAAAACATTCCCTCTCCAGCTCCCCTGGAGCCCATTGAGACACTTGGAAGGTGCTCTGAGTTCTCCACACAACCTTTTCTTCTCCAGGCTGAACATCCCCAACTTCAATCCTGAGAGTCTCTGTTGGACATTTCCCATGCAAGAGATACATGAGACAACTTTTAAATTAGGAAAAATACACACATCCAGGGAAAGTCTCAGCCCACCACACAAACGATCATCTGGGAGGCTCCACAGCTGAAGGGATGAACTTTCTTTCCATTTCCAATGCTCTGAGAACTTTTATAATTGACCACAATGTTTGGGCCTGATGTGTAAAGAAACCTGAAGCACTGGGCCCCCAACCTTCCATTAATCATCTAAGTGTGGATGTAAATCCAACCCCAGATCCCACACTGCAATCAAAACTCATTTCCTTTGACTGTTAACATAATATTCCTCCTGTTTCTGGATGGACTATCCAATACACTGAACAGGAATTCAGAAATGAAAGACCCTGCATGGTTATGTCACTGCTCCTAGACAGCTCAGAACCCAAATCAAACATTATACCTGCTCTCAATGTAGCACTTTTGCCATGTTCACACTAATAATGACAATGGATTTTTAGGGAAAAAGAATTTTCACATGTGTTAGTGTTGACAAGCTCCCTGGTGTTACCTCACTGCTCACAGTCCAATGAATTACATTTTCTGACTTATTTATTCCAACTTATATCTCAAGATCCCCCAGAGATCATCACCGGGGTCACAACCCACAGCTTGTGCCTCATTCCCACCCAATTAAAAGATGCTTTTCCTCCCATGGAAAGTTTTCCATGATTTTGTATAAATAAATGAGTTTAGTCCAAGAGTTAATCTCAACAGATGTAGCAAGGCACCACTAGAGCTTGAGCCAGGATTAAAGGATTTGGCAACGTCCGAAAATTAATAGCCAGAGGAGTACAAATTTAGATAAATACAAGGTCATCTAAAGGTTAAAAGAATCACAACACACCTTAACCAGAGGGGGAAGGCACAGGCTGGGGGTGCAAACAGTTCTGCAATTGCTAATACAGATTTATTTTTCACTTTCATGCCAGTGGCTGCTAAAACTGGAAGTTACACGAGGCTTTAAGGGGAAAAGCCAGGAATAATTTTCCAGTATAACAATAATTTAACAGTAATAATTTTCAGCGTGTGAGGAGGGAATTTAAGTAAGTGAGAAAGCAGCAGCAATATAAATGGCAAACCAAACATTGTTTGAGATATTTTGGTTGTGGGGTTTTTTTTTGTTTTGACAAAATGTAAAGTGTGGTTTAAATTTCAGTCAAAGTTTCCTCTTCTCCTTTTAAATAATGAAAGCCAAGCAAAACTTAATAGGGTTAGGTTTTACCCTTAACTTTTTATCAGCTGTTTGGCCTTCCTGAGCAGAATCTTCACTGCTTTGTTTGCCAAGTGACTCCACAGAGAGCAGGACAAACCCCCCTCATCCCAAAGCAGCCCCTGCCAAGGTTCTGCCACTTCAGGGACAGCAGTGACAGGAGGAATGGGAGCCCTGGTTAAAGAGAGATGAACACCTTGGCCAAAAAACTCTTCCAAATTCTTTCCTTCACAAACAAATAAAATCTGTGTGGGGTGAGAGCTGCCAATGATCCATTCCTGCCTGGTGTGCAACCTGTACTTTGGGAAACCAGTGCTGGAGAGGGACTTGGGACAAGGCCTGGAGTGGCAGGACAAGGGGGAATGGCTTCCCACTGCCAGAGGGAAGGGTTAGGTGGGATATGGGGAAGAAACCCTTCCCTGGGAGGGTGGGGAGGCCCTGGCACAGGTTGCCCAGAGAAGCTGTGGCTGCCCCTGGATCCCTGGAAGTGTCCAAAGCCAGGTTGGACGGGGCTTGGAGCAACCTGGGACAGTGGGAGGGTGTCAGAACTAGACAATCCTAGGTCCCTTCCAAGCCAAGCATTCTGGATTCTGTGGAAGCAGAGCCCTGCAGCCCCACAGCCCCTCAAGCTCCTGCAATCCTGATTAAAAGCAGCCCAGTCCTCCTCCAGTTGCACACACTGGTTTTGTCACCTCACAGGTTGCTGTGGGGCAGCTCTGCCCCTCATGAAACCATTCCCAAAAACCAGAATGACTCAGAACATCCACAGGCACTTGTGCATCAAACAAGGGCCTGTCCCTGATGATTCAGCTAACACGGAGTCACTGATGGAAAAGACAAAGCAAGAAGCAAAGGCAGAGGAGAACAAAGAAGGCTGGAAGGCTGTTAATGTGGAGGTGGCTGTAATTTAGGGAACAATCTTACAAAGAAAGCAGTGACTCACACTCAGAGCATCTGAAGAGAAAAAAGGCTTGAGGAAAAATGTCTTTAAAATCATTTTGCTTTAACCAGAGAAGATGATACGAAGCCTGGTGGGTTGTTTTGCACAGGATTAAGTGTTGCAGTGCAGTCGTGAGCTCAGGCAGGGGAGAAAGGCACTGTACCATGGAAATCTATGGACAACAGGAATGGTGAGTCATTCCCAAGGGACAGCTGTGCCTGGCAGGAACACACTGACCCCCCTAGGGATCCACTGCAGCTCACACAGGCTGTCACACCTGCCTTCCACTGACCTGCCTCCAGCCCCTCCCCACAGCCCTCCTGTTCTCATCCCCTGCCCAGGACTGACTGTGCTCCTGCCCGGGCAGGCACAACCCACAGCTGCTCCAAATGCACAAAACCAGGGGAGTCCTTTCAAGTCAAGACATGATTTTTTTCCCCTGTTCAGTGAAACAGGATTTTTTATCCTCTTCTTGCTCTCCTCCTATCAAGACATGATTGATGATGGAAGCTGTGGTGGGTTTGATAAAACACTGCTCCTTCCCTAGCACAGAGCAAAAACCTGAGAAATAACATGAACAAATTGTCCAAATATTTGGTGTCAGGACTTTGTCCTTTTATCTGCCCTCAGAATCACAATTATCTGGCAGGACAGGCTTTGGTGATTTATTAGATCAATTCAAATGACTGGCTCAACAGATTGCTATCACTTTTACAGTGTTCCTAAACAGGAACAGAACTGTTTGCCTGTCATAAAGTACTTACACCAAGTACTATAACAACACTCTTTCCCTCCACACTCTTCATCCAGGGCACTTCTGCACTGCTACATCTCTAGGTCTGGTGTAGCAACACCAGATATGAATTTCCTTTCTCTGAACTCTCTTCTCACTGTTATTGAGGTCAAAGAGCTCCATTAGCTCAGGAAATGTACCTTTTATGGACACTCACAGCTTATGGGTCTTAAACATGACACAGGTTAAAACCCCTCTGTGTCTTTGTACGGAGTCAGAATCTGCATCTCTGGGGAGCTGATGGTGCTTCCTGGCCAGGAAAAGCTGGGAACTGCATTTCAGGGAAATGGCCAAACCCTGGCAGTTCCCAGGGAAGATGCCCCTGTGCAGGGGAGCTCCTGTGTGTGAAGGGATGGCTTTAATCAGCACTCACTGAGCTGCTCTGCTCCAGCAGGAGCAGGAACATGACAATGGGCTGTTCCCCCACCAGCAACTCCTTCCAACACAACTCCACTGTCTGCATTTGGGAAACACCCCGAGAGCCACAAACCCAGAGCTGCATCTGCACAGAGTGTGAGGCTCAGGGTGACCTGATCCCACTGGCACAGACTTCTGCTTGGAATTAAGGACACAAGATTATTACACACCTAATTTTCTGTTAAGCCAGAATATGGTGCTCTATTTCTGCAGCTGTTCAGGTCTGTGGTGTCAGGAGCCTGACTGTGCATGGACACAGAAATCCTTTGCAGGCAGTCTCATCAATGTGGTTTTGTGCTGGAAAGCACAGTGGGATGTGAGCTGGGAGGCACAAGGCAGTGACACACTGCAGAAGAGCTGCCTTGCTTTTTGTGTCTTTAATCACCAGTGATACTCTTCAGCCCTAGTCCCAGTTGCAGCCAGGCTGACAGCAGGCAGGGAGCTCACACTGAATAATGGAATTATCACCAACCCTGGTAATCCATCAGTGTGTGCAGTGTCCACACTCATGCCCAGATCACAAAGTAGCTTTATTTTGCTTTACTGATTCACTTGGAAGTTAAATGTGGCAAGGCCTGATCATTCCAAGCAGTACTAAAGCACTTAATTAATATTTGGGGGTTGGAACTGCTGATCTCCAAGGTCCCTTCCAACCCAAGCCATTCTATGATTCTATTTAATAGTACAGCAAATAAAGCTTTAAGGCTTCTAAAATTAGAACAAAAGTCCAGCAAAGCCATAACACAGTTCAAAACCAGAAGTTTGTTCAAGCAATATCAATGTGTTAACTCTAGAGACAAATCTAATTTCAGAGCAGGTATCACATGTCCATGCTCTTCTGATTGTACAAATGAGATGTTATCTGAACTCCCACATCTGATCCAAAGCCAACAAAAGCTCTGGCTGGGCAGGCAGCAATGGGATCATTTAACTGCCACTGCATCCAGCTGGGATTTGTAGTGTTTGGAGATCCAACTGCTCCCCGACAGCCGGGCCACAGGCTGGACCTGGCACAGAAAGATCTGCCAGGGAAAAGCTGAGGAACCTTGAGAAGACTTTCCATGCCAAAATACACAAGTGTCTGGTCAATTCTGACCCTCTCCAGAGCAAACTCATAATTCCACCCCCTCACAGACAGCAGCTGCTGGACGAAAATCCCTCTGCCTGAAAGGAGCTGAAACACGAGACATGGCAGGAGTCACACCCCCCAACCTGCAGCAGCTTTGGGGTTTGCTTTGTTAACAGAGACTTTTTTATCTTTTACATTTCCCAGTGAGAAAATCCAAGCTAGGGAATAAAACTCTTTGGAAGGACAGAGCCATTTGGACACAGAAGTTTTGGTACCTAATTCCCAGGTATGTTTAGGACCTTTTGAAAATTCAGTGTAAATCTCTCTGCTGGAAGATTTACAGAGCCCAGCAATCTTTAAACCACCCAGCAAACACAGACATGAGAGCACAGCTTGGATGGGTGGCTTGTCCAAGGCAGTGGCACTGTTTTGTCAACTGGAGTTCTCTGAATCCTCGACGTTCTGCCTGAGCTGGTTTTAGCTCCTGGAAGGAACAGGGTGATGTGAACAACAGTGTCAGCTGCCTTGGAGGGGGACAGCACAGCTTCCACAAACATCAGGCCAGCTGTCCATCACAGGGCCATGGCCAGCCCTACTTCCCATGGCAGGCAGGGAGCAAACTTCCCATGGAGTCCCTGGGTGTCTCCAGCCCATGCCCAGGGAGAAGGGAAGTGCCCTGACACCAAAGAGGACACCCTGCTCACCCCACAGTCAATCCTGTGCAGGCACAGCAGCTCCAGGAACAAACGGCTGAATTTCCCGCCTTTATTTAAGTTTTATCATCATCTCTGGTGCTTGTGCCTACCTGAAATCCATGTTTTCCTCTCCACCACGAGGTCAGCTCCTTTGGTGGCATATCAATGACAGACACGATGTCTCCCACCTGCACAAGATCGACAACATCAATCACAGCCTGCCATGAGCACAACCCCAAAAGCTACAGTCCCCAGCACAGCAAGAAACTGTAAACTGCACATCTGCCTTTGCAAAGCCAAACTGTGAGGAGGAAGAGTTACTGGATTCTCCAGCTGTTCCTAAGGAAAGGGGCCTTGAGAGCAGCAGGATCTCTGCCCAGGGGTGCAGGAGTGTTCTGATTAAACTATAGGGATGGTGTCAAACACTTTGGAAAATACTCTCAAGTAGCTGAACTAATTTTTACTCCATGCCCTATCCATGAGTGTGTGGGCACTGACATGTGTCTTCCTGTTTCCTCTCACAGCAAAAAGTCCAGAGCTGCCTTTGTAGCTCCCAAACTGCCCCAGATGTGCTGGTCTGGGTTGGGAGGGGAGCAGAGGAGAGGTGGTGTCACAGCAACAGGATGGAAATGGCCAAGGAGACCAAACAGGTTTTCTGCAGCTTTGCTCACTCCCATAAAAATGTAATCCCACAATGGTTCCAAAGGCAATCAGTGTCATCAATACTGCACTGGGCTTGGTTTGAGTGGGGGCTCTATTACAGATAATGACAAGGGGCAGAATGTAAATAAGTCCTGCAGGCAGGGAGAGCAAAATCTGGGACCAGTAATGCCCAACTTTCACCAGATGTTTGACACTGATGGGTCTCAGTGTGTTTTACAGAAAAGACAACACATCCCCAGTTTTCAGCCAGGGATAACAGAGACACAGGGAAGTGATTTCCTCAAGGGAATGGTGGACCAAGAGCAAAGCAAGTCTCCACTAAGGAAGCTGCTGTCACCACACGAGCAGAGACATTGGGTGGGTTCCTCAGTCCTGGGCAGCAAATCCCATCAGCTACTTGTGCAACTGCCCACTGAAAATTAAGAATATCCTAAACATGAAAGGGATGATTTGGGTTAGGGAACAGGACAGAGCACTGTAAAACAGCTGCTCCTGTTCCATGTCTGTCCTGCCAAGGTTTCTCTCTGCACACACTCGGGAAGCCACACGTGCCTCAGTTTCCCTGCTCACACACTATTCCTCATAACCTGGGCTGCATTCCAGCTGCATTCCAGCCTCCTGGCACAGAGCAGGATTTACAGCAGGGAGTGCCAGCTCAGTGCCCTCATCAGCACTGAGCCCCTGGCAAACAGCCTGGCTCCTGTTCTCCATGGATCCTGTGCTCCATGGATCCTGTGCTCCTGTGCTCCATGGCTCCTGTGCTCCATGGCTCCTGTGCTCCATGGCTCCTGTGCTCCATGGACCCTCACTGGGGGTGCTGTGCCCACCCGTCTCTCTGATCCGTGCAGTTCTTTGCTCTGCACTAGTAACTGCCTCCATTTGGAACATGAACAAACCCTGGCAGCACCAGACTATCACTATTATTCTTCCTTCCTGTGCTGCACACGAGAATGTGCTCACAAAACTCCTCTGGGCTCTGTTTTCCTTTACACTGATGGCAGAGCACTGTGCACACTCCAGTGACAGGACCATTGCTCAGAGCAGTCCCAGTGTGAACTGCTGCTGTTTGGGCCAAACAGGCAAGTGCCTGAGAGCCAAAAGCTTCCACAGTCTGACCCTCCAGATCTTGGATGGGGTTTGGAGCAACCCGGTCTATTGGAAGGTGTCCCTGCCCATGGCAGGGGCTTGGAAGTAAATGATCTTTAAGGTCCCTTCCAACCCAAACCATTCTGGGATTCAATGATTCATGTGGGATTTTCACACCAGTTGTAGACCATCACCCGCCCTTCAAGTGCCAAATCCTTTGCCAGTCTGGTTCTTTACTTTTCATGGCAGCAGACACTCTTAAAAATGGTTTTAGACACGGACTTGCTGAGAGGAACAGAGGTTGTGTAACCTGGGCAGTGAGTAATTAAACTTGTGTCCACACACACACATGGACAGTGCCCCTGAAGAGACACAACACAACACATGGACTCTCCAGGGGCTGCTCCTGCTCAGGGACCAGCCCAGGGGACTTGGCAGGAGCTGTTTAACCAGAAGATACTAATGCCAAGTAAAGCTATATTTTAGAGATGACTGAACATCTGCCTGTCTCCAACTCACTGCAGATCGAATATTTAACTCAATCTTCTAAGCTTCACCTCACAAAACATTCCGAAAGCGTCGGGATATATTCACGACGGGCACAAAAACACAGACACACACACACAAACACATTACACTCATCTCTGTGTGACAACAAGGAATAAAAGTGCTTTATTTACCTCAAAGGACAGTTCATCTGCTGCTTGAGCAATATATCTCTTAATAACATGGGCAGCAGCAATAGCAGGAACGTTAATGGACGATTCCTCGTGGACTAGCAGGTGGTTCCCCTTGTTATCAATCTGCAAGAGAGAGAGACTGTGAGGCAGCTGAGGACAAGGGAGGAGGGGTTTTATTGGTGCTCAGACACAGCAGAGGCTTCAAGCTGATGCAGAGAGACAGCCCAGCTCGGGGCCCCAGCAGAGAGCTGGGAGTGAGGGCACAGCACAGCCAGCACAGCTCTCAGGGGCTGCACAAGGTCGCGTGGCTCCAGCCACCGAGCAGAAAAACGCTGCCCTGTGCAGCTCTGTGCACAAGCAGGAACACCCAGCCAGGGTTTGCACCTCCCTTCAGCACCAAATCAGGTTGTTTTTCCTCAAGTACTTCAAACAGTGCTACAAAAATTCTCTACAGAGTGGAATTAATGCTCAAGAAGAGGCTCTGAGGGAGGAAATGCTGTCAAACCAAAAACTAGTGTTGCTTTCAATTTTCTCCCACCCTTTTATTTCTCTTTTTAAAGAAAACATGCCGCTCCCGCTCTTCACTGCAGGAATCCAAATTCCCAGATTTTTGTGCTTGTGTCAAATTCTGTAGGATCCTCAGTCAGTTCTGCAATAATTCTGTGTTCTGTACTACACAGGCAACAGCTTTGCTGTGATCTCCAGGTCCACTGGGTTGCTGTAGATCCCCCAGTTTCACTTCTCTCTATAACTTCCTCCCTTTGCTCAGCAGCTTTCCAAGACTTTCTCCTCCCAAAGGATCTCAGGGTGAGGAGGAGGATATCAATGGGGGAAAACTGCAGGAAAACACACTTAATCCTTATCCTAACCATTTAAAAATTAATGGCAACAGTCTAATTATAGCTGCTGCTATTCCTGGTGTGCAGGAATGGGAAGCCACACGTCTGTCCCCAGGCTGAGCAGGGTCCCAGTGTTCCTCCCTTCCCAGTGAGGGCTATTGTTCCCATGGCATTAGCCCAGAAAACTGCAGCTGCAGCTCCCCCCATGCAAACAGTGTCCCTGTGGGCACAAGGGGGGCTCTGTCAGGGCTGGCACCCACAGGGCACAGAGCACCCACAGGGCACAGATCACCCACTGGGGCACAGAGCACCCACTGGGGCTGCAGCTCCCACAGGGAGAAATCATTAAAGAAGAAAGAGGGCAGGCAAACAGCACAACAGAGACAGCTCAAATGGCTCGAGAAATGCGCCACACTTGCAGGAGTGCCTTGCCAAAAAGGAGGTAACAATGTGAGGCACTGGGAGATTGAGCCCTGCACTGGGAGTTCCCAGCAGCCCATTGCCCCAGTCTGTGCCTCACTGGAGCTGCCACCTCAGTAGTTGTGATTAGCAGCACAACAATACGGTTTGGGGTGACAAAATCCAAGAAGGAGGGGGGGAAAAACTCTATATTCTTAATATTGGACCTGATTCCATGTGTTCTCTGCCTTCTGTGGCCACCCACACCTTACACACCTGGTAATGGGGGAATAAAGCTTTCAGGATGGAATTTCAGTGGCACCAATAGGGGAGGGTTATTAATCTGGAAGAGAGCAGGTTTGTGGTGAGGAAAGGAAGAACAACCTGAGCTTTGTACTGTACCTCCATCCACGTGAGGGCAGGCCCACAGTTGATCTTGTTGCCTGCGATGGCTGAGAGCCGGGCCAGGTAAGCCATGAGCATCTGGGTGACCAGCTGGGACAGGGACAAACACACACACAGTGCTTCTGTTAGTACAGCACAGTCTGGACAGACTTCTTCACACTTGGAGAGACCATAAATTAGCCACTGCCATAGAAATAAATCCCCCTGTGCCAGGAAATGCATCTCTGCCATGTGAAGCCACACGCGGGGCTGTAACGATCACACAAAAAAGCTGGAAAGCAGCAGCTCACTGTGAAGGTAATAATGTTATTTTCATAAGATATTTAGATTTTTGTGATTTCCCTTGTCAAGATACTTCAAATCTAAAGCTTTTTTCTCCTCAGAGATTTCACACCCATGTTATGGCCACCAAACACACCTGAGAACCACCTGGTGAAACAAAACCCTTCCACCCTCCTGCAAACCCTCAAGAATGTGGCAACTCAGACTGACCCCCTGGGCAAAGAGTAATATTTCAAACAGTAGAAGAGGCGTTTAAAAATACACTTAGCAATGTCCCCTCTGTAACAGTAAACTTGTTTTTATTAAAGAGAAACTCGTGAGGTCTCTCCAAAGGCTCACAGTGACAGTGTTATAAAGCACTATTGTAGCCCAGAGTCTGTAGGACTGTTTAAAACATTGTTCTCCTCAAACATCTGCTCAAATGTGGCCAGTTTAAAATGAAAAATACGTGATGAGACACCCCACAGCTGCAGAGTTACATTTCACAGAGCAACAGAGCTGTTCAACATCTTTACAGCTCCTGTGCTTACACACAGAATGCAGATTTTTGGGCTCGTGCTCTAAATTATATTACATGAGTTGTACAAATAAAGATATAAGAGATAGGAATGCCTAAAACACAATTAAAAATAAACCCAGGAATTCATTATCCTGGATGGGGCTGCTTCTGCTGAATTTAAGAGACTAGAAACTTTAAATTTTTTCCAGACAGAGGCTGTGTGAAGCCAAAGCAATAAGAAATGTGTCTCTCTTCTGAGCAATGGGGCTGCAGGATCAGCTCCCTGTATCCAACAGCAAACACCCCAAGGAATTCCAGGGGGTACTGGTCTCAGCCCCTGTGCGTGGCTCCAAAGCAATCCCTGCTCAGCACTGAAGGAACACAGATCCTGATTTATAGTTCCTGGATAGATTATTCTTTGAGTGCTTGGATTGAATTTCCCTCATTTCCCTTTCCCTGCACTGCCTCCCCCTCCATGTGCTCTGAAGGGACACAGCCAAGATGCACCTGCTACTTTCCAGGAGATTATTTTGGCCATGAACACACCCTTCCATGACCAACAGGCAAGAAGCCGAAGGAATTCCAGCTCATCATATTCCAGGGGAAGACATTAAGTCAAGAAATGAAAACTCCTCTTATCCATGCAGGAAAACCAGCTTTTTAAAAATAATGCACTGATGCAAATGCTCTTAGAAAGCAGCTTTAGGAATATTCAGTTGAAAATGCAAGTCTAGCACTCCAAGTGGGATTGCTCCTGCAGTGCTGCAGCCTGGGACAGCAGGATTTCCTAGGAATGCTGACAAAGTTTCCAAAGACAGAACTGGGATCTAAGGTACCAACAGCTGCTTTCTTGACACTCTGAACAACCATTCAGACTTAGCAGCTTTACCAATTCGTATGAACTTGCAGGATATTTCCCTTCAGGTCACTGAAATCAGGGGTAAAAATCACTGACCTTATTCCCGGGAGTCAGTTTTCAAATCTAACCTGGGCTGCATTAAAAGGACTCTGCACTCGTAGTTGGCTACTACATGGAATCATGGAATTGCCAAGGCTGGAAAAGACCTCCAAGATCTTCAAGTCCAACCATCAACCAGCACCACCAGCACAGTCTGGGGTGAGGAGGTTCTTTTTTACTCTACCTTTAACCTCTGCCAGACAAACTGAGATAAATCACAGGATCCCTATAATCTTAACCCTAAAATCCCCTATATTTCCCAAATATCTTGGTGCAGCTTGATGCCATTAGTCGAAAATATCTCCAACCCATCTCACTGTGGGTGACTATAGGGGACTGTAGGTGACTGTGGATGACTGTAGGTGACTGTGGGTGACTGTAGGTGACTGTGGGTGACTATAGGGGAGTGGAGGTGACTGGAGGGGGCTGTGGGTGACTGTGGGTGATGATAAGTGCCTGTAGGTGACTGGAGGGGGCTGTGGGTGACTGTGGGTGATGGTAAGTGCCTGTAGGTGACTGTGGGTGACTGTGGGTGACTGTGGGTGACTGTGGGTGACTGGAGGTGACTGGAGGTGATTTTGGGTGACTGGAGGTGACTGTGAGTGACTGGAGGTGACTGTAGGTGATTTTGGGTGACTGGAGGTGACCATAGCGGACTGTAGGTGGCTGGAGGTGACCATAGGGGACTGTGGGTGGCTGGAGGTGACTGTGAGTGACTCTGGGTGACTGGAGGTGCCCTGCCAGTGCTGCAGATGTTTCCAGAGGTGTGATTTACCTCGGGGCTGTCCCTCAGGGCATCGGAGCGGGGCAGCTCTGCCAGCTGGGAGAAGCGCCGGTCGTAGATGCACAGGTGGAGGTGTTTGTCCAGCACCCTGAAATCCTCATAACTCCTCTTCACAATCCAGCTCCTCCCCTGCACAGACACAAGAGAGTCACACTTTTACAAACACATCACCAGTTTGGGTTAGAAAAGGAAAACTTGTGCAGAAGCAGCACTTTCCTCTCAAAACATCTGAAAGCCATGGAAGTGCCTGAGTAGTATTTTCATGTTTGAATTTGCAGGCAGCCACCCATGCTCAAAACATGGGAGAGTTCCTGTTTGAAGTGTTTACCCATGGCCTGGAGGTGGCCAGGCATCGATCTCCTGGTCTGGTTTTGTTTAATGGAGTGTTTCAGGGGTAGGAGAGTCAGGGAGGAGAGGAGAGGGAGAGGGAGAGGGAGAGAGAGAGGGAGGGGGAGGAGGAGGAGGAGGAGGAGGAGGAGGAGAAGGAGAAGGAGAAGGAGAAGGAGAAGGAGAAGGAGAAGGAG